TTCTCCAAAGGGAGTTTTAGTTGATTTTTTTTTTGTTTATTTTAATAGTCTGTTTGTTTCTTTTTTGAAGATTTTTAGGATAAAATGCAGCCATAAAATAGTGATTAGGGTTTCATGAAACTTTAAAATCTGTGCCAAGAAAGTTCCTCTCATCCACTGACGCCTCAGTCTAAAGAGAGATAATGGAAAAGAAAAACAGGAGGCCAAGAAGTCCTGGCTAGAAGCGTACAGTACCGTGGAGCCCATCCAAGAATTTCACTGTGTGCAGGAAACAAGCTCTAAAGCTATTTACATTCAAAGCAAATGAATCTAAACCTATGATATTATTTTGACCCCCAAACACTTATTCATCCCATTTCCATATTTATGGATCCTCTACTGGAAAAGAACCCCTTTTTTTCATAATTAGAGATAAGGACATAAAAAGTGAGGTTACCTATGATAGGTGACTTTGGATCAAAAGCTTCAAAATTAAACAGCAAAGGAAGCAGAAGGAAAAGAAAATAGGAAGAAAATGTCACTCAATGACCGAATTTAAAAAATTGGTTGGGTATTGGGGGACATTAGGCCTTTAATACAGAAGGTGTATTTCTGGATTCGGGTTAAAAAAATCAAGTCACAAAAGAAGAGTTCAATTAACATGAATTACCATCTTCATTTCCCCTATTATCTTTTTCTCTTTTCTCCAATTCTGTAAAGGTTTTTATAAAACCAAGAAGCAAAGCTTCTTTTCATCTTTTTGTTTGGTATCCCTTCTGAACCTGAACATAGATCCAGAACAAAAGAAGACATCTTCCAGACAGAAAGTGGAAGGACACTGTTCCACTTCCCTCACACTCTCCTTGTCTATGTGACAGCAACCTGATGGTCACCTAAGAACAGAGCTGGGACCTGCTCCTTGCACTGATGTATCAGGCTTACCAAACTTCAGCACTGACCTGAAAAGAGATGCTAAGCCAAGTCATTCTCCATTAGCCACTTGACTCTGAATCTTTTCTAGCAGTAAAATATATGGACTGAATACCAGGGACCTTCTTAAACTCCTTTAAGTTACTATGGGACATACATAGCATAAACAGAGAACACTAATATAGGGGTCTGCAGTGACATGGGAAGAGTCACCTCTGCAGGCTTATGGGCAGCTGCAACTTCTCACATAAAGCTGCACCAGACATTCATTCACTGAATTATTTTCTATGCAAAACTTCTCTCCTGGCTGGGAACCTACCAGAGAAGAGTCTGAACAAGGATGCTGTGGAAAGAAAGATCTCATTGGAAAGCCACAGGCATGGTTTATGAACCGTAAGCCACCTATAGATAAGAAGTGAGAGAGTTAGGGCTCACTTAATTAACTACATCAGACCCTTGACAGTAATTTCCACAATTATAAAAAAAACTTTAAATGGATGGCAAATGAGTTCAGAAAAATTGCTGAGCCCTTATAATTTATATCTATGGCTACATTTTACCTAACTTTACTAAAATCACCAGCAAATAGAAGTAAGCTGTGACACACTTCTTGACCTGTACAATCCTCATAAGTTGTTATTGCCAGCTTCTGAATGGGGCAGACAGAGGGGTGGTGCGGGGTGGGAGAGGGGGAAAGCTGGGATGGAAAAGAGAGAGAGAGAATGCCTCCTGTAAACTCCACCAAACAGCACTGGCATCAGGAAAGATTTCAATAGAATAATCTTGAGCCAAGAAACTTTGACACAGAGCCTCTGAAATCAAGATCTGTGGAAATTTCAGACAGGAAATGTTCTGTATTTGGTGCAACTTCTTTTGACACAGAGTTTAAAAACTGAAATCAAATACAGTAGTCAGACAACTTCTAAGCAATTTCAAGTAAGTACAGTCATAACTCACTTCCAGTCAAACAATGTGAGATTTTAATAAGAGCAACAGGAAAAGTTCTAGAAGGAAACAGCACTGCTAACTTCCTTTGTTCTGGCAACACTCCCTATCAAGGAATTTTTTTCTCCTCTACTTGCAAAGTGGGTGTGTGATGACCAGAACATGAAAAATGGTAAACTATATTTTTTTCCAGCAAAGTTGCAATTATTCAGATCTTGCATAATTCAGGATACATGATACGCAAATGTGTGATGGCTATGTGACACAGCATATCTGTGCTTTCTCAGCCTCCCACCCAAGCATAGTACCTGGAAAACATCCATAAAGTGAGGGAATGCTCCTCAGGGCCCAGTCTTTTCTTGGCTTAGAGATGGGCTTGCAAAATATACCGCGCAAATTATTTAACCTCTTTCTGTCTCCCATAGGCACCTGCAAAGTGGAATGGAGGCAGTGGTTCAAAAACTATTTATGTATGCTTCAGATGCTAACAACCACTGTCACACCCAATGTCAATAGTCAGGATTGTGACACAAACCTGATACAGTGTTTAAGACATCTTTCACTCTTAAAAGTTTTAGAACTTCATACTGAGATTATAAATATTAATATTTTGAGTGGGCAATAATGATAAGGCTTAAGAAGGTGGTAAAGGGTAGATAGTTTTCTTTTTTATACTTTTCAAATTAGAAATAATGATAGACTCCTACGAAATTACAAAAATAGTATGGAAAAGTCCTGTATTCACTGCCCCCCACGTTCCCATGTAACATCTTATGTAACTATAATACATTATCAAAGGCAGGAAACTGACATAGGTGCCATACTATTAACTGGATTCAGATCCCACTGGGATTAAAGCAGTTGTTAAAACAATTTGGATACTGCCAGAGAACATTTGACTCATTACACGACATTTATTCTTGGAGGTGGCATGCTGTAAGGAATTTGAGCCCATTCTCATCAGCCTGTATATTTTAGGCATATGATTTAACATCACAAAGCCTGTTTGTTTATCTGTAAAACAAAAACAGTAATACCAAGTACAGTATGCTGTTATGAGGAAACATATTGAGTCCAAGAAGTAGCATATATTAGGAATCTTCAAAAAAGTACTTTCCTTTATTCCTACATAAGGCCTGACACTTAGTTCCTAGAGTTTTGGGGTACACCAGCCACCTTCCTACTAGTCAGCCTGCCTCTTGATGATGATGACTTTCTTTTTTTTTTTTTGGTCTTTTTCCTTTTTATCGGTACCAGGGATCGAACTCATGACTGCTTGCTTGCAAGGCAGGCGCTTATGCCGCTGAGCTAAATCCCCAGCCCCAGATGATGGTGACTTTCTTCAAGCTGGTCTTATTTCTGATAACCAATATCCCTACTGGTCCCTCGAAGGATTGTGAAGTGAGATGGGCTCTGAGATGGGCTTCCTGCCATTCCTTTACCTAGAAAGTGACCACTCTGCTCCACAAAGCCATCCTCTGCCCAGCCATCTAGCTGCTTTGGACCTTTTATCCCCGTGATCTGGTACCAAAGCAGAAGGTGGGAGCCCAGCTGGCATATCATCCCACTGATTCTTTTCCCAGGCTTCAAAATGAACCCTGGAATGACAATCAGGCAGTCTGTGATTGCGAAGTTTCCTTCTGCCTTTCCAAGTACCTGCCTTCTGGAGCAGGTGTGCAATTTTCACAAATTGTAGCATTGGCCCTGAGGGTGACTGCAAAAACCACATAGGATTTTCCATCTCCTAATTTTTACCATTGTCCCAATAATTTGTCTATTGTAAGCCAGCTGGGCAAGTGCTAACCTTCATTTTCTTTTTGGTACAGTGCCTACTGTTGCCTTAACACTCAATTAATAAAATGCTGTAATGATCTGCCTTCTGGCCCAGTGTTTTAGAAGCAGGGCTAGGCAGACAAATCCTGAGTGGATTTCCTCAGAACACAGGTCCCCAGCAGGGGCTGAAGGTCACTGTAGTGTTGGCTGGGGTTAGGGGAGAGAGACACTTTCGTGGGCCTGAGGGTTTTATGGAGGAAGACTTAGGCAGGAGTGGACTGAGAGAAAAGGACGCTGGCATATGGATGAGGTAGCCCCAGGTCAAGATTTTGAAGAGCTTCAAACTTGAGGTTAGAGTGACTTTTATTAGAATCTTGGCTCTGGCACTGACCATCTGTATGCCTTGGGACAAATTGCTTATAATTCTAGTCTTGATTTTCTCAGTTGTGAATGGGGATAATGATCACCACATCTTAGATACTGTGAAGACAGATAAAGATTCTAAACGTTAGGCCTCAATCTTCTCCTGGGCCCATCTGGACCTTTCTTGTCCAATCTAGTTTTAACAAACCTACCCCATCCTGAGTGTCAGATCACTTTTGACATCTAATCAGGTCCCTTGTCCTCCACCATCCCCAGGATGTCTGACAACCCAAGCTTGCCCTCAGCAGGAAACCTTTTAGGTAACTGGAGCCAGAACCAGCCAACCGGGTGTCTCCTCTTAATAATTCTCCATCCGCTGCCTGCCCCTCAATTCCCACCTGCTCGAGGTACCTTTTGGGTTGGGTCCAATCTCTACCCACTCCTGCAAAATCCCTTTGTCTACACCTATAACAATAAATCTTCTTGCCGTACGGTATCAAATGCCATTAAATGTGTTTTTCTGTAACAAAACAAAGACAGGAAAAAACCACCCAGGGGGGCCAATAAATGAACATTTCCCCTCTAGCCTGGCTTTGAATTGATAGTCAAGCACAATTCAACCTGAAACTTCCCCTGTACACACCTGGTTTCGGAGGGCCTGCTTCAGAGTTAGGGATTCTGACCTTTAGCCCACCTTGGGGACCCAGGGTGGTGACAGAATCCCTACAGGATGGAGTTGTACTGAGGTGCTTGACAGAACAGCTCCTGGCAGACCTGCAGGTGGGACCCGGCGTGACGCGAGGGTTTGGGATGCCACCTTCCCGGGCACCTGGGCTGCGTAGCTTCCTCCGCTCCTGGGCGGGTGGGCTAGGCCTGAGGCCGGGGCGTAAGTGCGGTGGGCGCGAGGGGCGTGGCGGGCTGCAGACTCGGCTGCCGCCAGGTGGCACCAGGAGCCGCCCGGAGCTCTAGTGGGCTGCGCGGGGCAGGAAGGGGTTAAGCCGCCGAGAGCCCCGCGCTCCTCGGGGAAGCCCGGCCGGGCGCGGAGGAGGGCGGCGGGCCCGCGGAGAGCGCCATGCGGGGAGGCGCGGCGCCCGGCCGCCCCTGAGCCGCCGGAGCAGCCGCCCTCGGCCCGGGCGCGGAGATGAGCAGGTCCGCGTTGCTGCTGCTCTGCTTGCTGGGCTGCCACATCTGGAAGGCGGTGACCAAGACGCTGCGGGAGCCGGGCCCCGGAGGCGCCCAAGGTCGGTGGGTGGCGGCGGGAGCTTTGTGTCGCGGGCCCTGCGCAGCGGCGGCCTGGAGCTCGCCTGGCTCGGAGCGGGCTGGCGAGGCTCGGGGGGCAGCGGGGCGCGGCGGGGCGCGCCGAGGTCCATCCCTCTGCACCACGGCATCGCGCGCCACTCGAGCTCCGGGCGTCCCGCGCCTCGCTCCCGGCCCCGACCGGGTCCCTGCAGCGGCGCCCAGTGGCGCGCGGCTCTTTTGTTGTGGCGGGGGCCGGGTGGCCGCCGCCCCGGTGCCCGCTGCGCCCCGAGACCTAGAGTCCGCAGTTGTCGCCCTCCACTCGCCTGCCGCAGTTAGGGAAAGTTTCGGGGTCCCCCCCGCCCAGTCTCTCTCTGATGTCTTTTCCAAACCCGTTGGGATTTACTCAGGGGCCTAAGACTCGGGGTGAGAGGAGAAAGAACTGGAACCGGCAGGCCCAGATCACTTTTAAAAAATTCATTTTCATGCCTGTGCGTCCCCAGCTCGTGCCTTTTGTCTAATCTTTGGCCACAGCAAATCAGCTTTCCAGGCGTAGAGGAGCTTGGACGCCTCTGAGAATGGCCACAAGCCTGTCTTTTGTTTTGTTTTTACATCAGAATTTATTCAGGGGAACCCCGTAGCTTCCTTAGCATGCTTTTGTGGGGCCAAAACCGAGTGTTTCTGCGTTGCTGGCCTTCTCAAAGCAGGACTGAGGCCCCGCATGCCAGCATCTGCATCCACCTGGGCGCCGCTTCCCTGGGTCCTTAGGGCCTAGCGGGCAAATGAGCCCACAGGCCGCCCCTGCAGCCACGTGCACCCCAGGTTCCTGGCAGGAAGATGCCAGTCCTGCAAAGTTGGCCCCCGCACAATGAATGGAGGAACAGTATGCACCACGAATGGAGGAGGAGTGTGCACCAGCACCCTCTGACTGGGACCCTGTGTTAGGCTTTTCTTCTGGTGACCTGTCCTAGGGATCGGAGGCTCCTGGACAGCCTCATGGATGTTATACCAGGAAGAGGAGGCTCTGCTGACAATCTGGGTTTAGTTGTCTACATGTTGAATGAAAGGCTTTCATATGCAACACTTGGTGAATTGCGTTGGATGCATGGCTTCTACAATCAGGGTAGGCTATGACCGATAGGAATTGTCTATACATTTAATAAGGTATATACGGAAAGGGTATTGACAAGGTACAAAAAGACCCATTATGTCTGCTCATGTAGGAAATGAATGTCTCTGACATTAGATCATCAGGGCTGAATTGTAGCCGCCTTAGTTTATATTCTACTGCCTTTCCAATGTGTTTTTAATTATTATGATATTTGTGTCTCAGTGAGGTTATTATTTCCAAAGAACAGGTTGATTTTTTTGTGTTGTACTTCAGATATCAATACATAAAAACACCCAGTCGATGCACTTACAAAACAGGGTAAGTCATGGCTCGATTTAAAGAAGAAATTATAAGAAAACCTTTGAGGTCTAAGACTAGATTTTACTGAGGTCTTGCTGTTAAAACCCCAAAATGGAATAGCCTATAAAATGGTAGCAAAATGACTGACCTATAAGCATGTTTTCACTATCGATAAGAGTATTTTAGTATATAGTATGGCCCGCGTGGGAGAGTGAGTATGGTGAAATATTCTCCTCTTAGATCGCGTATTTGGTTTGTTATTTAGACTAAGAATGGCTTGTAAGGTGTTAAACCCAGAAGCTATATCCAAAGTCTGGGTCTCACTACCTGACACTTGGATTTTGAGCTACTTTTGTTGCTAAGGAAACAATTTCTCTGTTGGCATTCAAGGCCATGTTTAACCCAGTGAGTTTGGCAAAGCATCTTGACTTATCACTGTCTTCTATGTTTTTAATTTGTGTCTTTTTCTGCAGTCCTGGATCTTTGCGCCAAGGAGTCAAATGCTATATCTGATTTCATGTTACATTTTCCTCAACAGATTAACCATTGTTTTGTTGGGGCTCAGATAGTGCTGAATGGGTGATAATACATGTACCATAGTACAAACTGAGATTGTAAACATTGCATTCATTGTAAAGAAGAAAAGTTCAGGCTGGTTATGATGGCATACATCTGTAGTGCCAGAACCCTGGGAGGCTGAGGCAGGAGAATCCCAAGTGTGAGCCCAGGATGGGCAACTTAGTGACTTAGCAAGATGTCTCAATAGAAAATTTGAAAAGGGCAATGTGTGGGATGTAGATCAGGGTAGAAGCCCTGAGTTTAATCGCCAGTGCTACAAAACATAACATAAAAATAAATAAAAAGGAAAAATTCAATGTTTATTCATCCAAAAGCTAATTTGTTAAGAATTTTATTTTTATTGTAGAAAAAAAGAAACATACTTTTGAGCAAACATTACATGTACATTGTACACTAACAGGGTTTGCAAATTACTGTGGAAAAAATTAGTGACTTCAGGCATGTAGCAATTGTACATTCTAGTGTTCCACCTAGATTTGTGGGACTCAATGATACCTGCTTTGTAAAATGAATCTGTATCATAACATCCAGGGAAACTAACATCTGCAAGATTTCTTGGTACCACTTTGCTATTTATATATTCAAGATAAAATTTAAGGTTTGGCTTCAGATTCTTTTACTATAGCTGCTCTGATTTTGCCAAGTGATTTCCAGTGCAACAGTTAGCCATTTGCCATGTCACTGGTCTGAAGTGTGAACTAGTGTCAGAAGAGATGACATGTTTCATGTGAGCTGCTCTGAAGTATTTAGTAAAGGAAGATTATTCAAAACTATTGACTAACTGGCTTTCTGTGCCTCTTACCAAACCACATGAGGCAGCTTGATCGAAGGGTACTCTTCTGGAAGAGCAGTAGGCTGTGCAGATGTGCTCTGTAGGGATGTGTTTTTGAAGCCCTATATTCTGTTTATATGCTAGAAGAAAGGTCAGTACTAGATGAAGAATTTCATGCTCAGAAATCTGTTATATGATCTTTATCTTGCTATTATCTAAAGTAAGTTTTTTTTTTTTTTTTTTTTGCAATGATGTAGTAACTTTTTGTGCATCTCAGAAAAACTACAGTCTATTATCTGAGTGAATGGGTTGGCTGCCTCTCTTCTCTCCAGAAGGTCTGTTCTTTGCCAAATTCAAACTTCAGTTATTAGGCCACTGTGATCATCTGAAAGACTGAAGCAAGGATGGAGGGGTTTAGGGAGGGTCAGCCAGCAGGACTGGCTTCTCCTGACATTATATTAATAGCATAACCACTACAACGTATGGGCTCCCATCCTGGAGGAATTAGACTTCAGGAGACCACTGCGCCTCATTGCAAGCCAAGTGTGACATCTACCAGAAGCAACAACAGTTACAAGGGATTTCTGCAAAGTCTTTGAAATGACTTCATTTTTATCTTTGTGAGACGGGGTCTCACAGTGTTACCCATACTGACCTTGAACTCCTAAATTCAAGTAATGCCCTGGCCTCAGCCTTTAGAGTAGCTGGGACCACAGGGATAGGGTTCCATGCCCAGTTTATAAATTATATTTATATCCTATTTTTTCTGTGCTACTTTGTAACTTATAGGTTGTTGGCTTAAAATCCTAACCAAAAGAAGGAAATTTTACATGGATTTCTAAATTTGCAAATAAAGGTGCTTTCTCAGTTTCAGTATTCATGTTGGAAAAAATGAAATATCTCTATAAATCAAATTGTGCAATTTTATCATTGTTGGTAAATAGGTAATTTTAGTAAATATTAATTTAGCAAGAAGCATGTGAAATTAAGTTGGGCAGCATATATACTTGAAAATTGAAATATATATTGAAAATTTTGGAAAAAAATTTTAGAGATTTATATGGAAGAGTTTGCCTTAAGTACTTTTCATGAAACATGTTTAATGGAAATTATGATGCTATTATAGTTCAATCAAGTTATACAGAAATACTGAAGACAAATCACTTGATTTTACCAACTACTTCAGGACTGTTAAAGACCACAGGTCTAGCTAAATTATCTTGTTTTAGTAAACATCTAACTGAATGCATTTCAAAATTAAGCTTCAAGGCTCTGTATAGATCAGTTAATTGTATGAAATAACTTTTTAAAAAAATTTACAGCATGAACCAATACTTGCTCTACATTAATAAAACCATTACCTTTATAAAGTCAGACTTGTAAATAGGAACTATCTAAGGCACTTAACCACTCTAGGGTTTCCTCATATTTTTAAAATAAGCAGTTTAGTCAATATATTTAAGATGATTCCATCTTTTTCTAATCAAACAGGCTTCATTTGCGAACTTTCCTTACTTTTAAACTCAAGTCAATCTGCAAACTGTGTTCTTTTTTTCTTTCATGTATCTGTTACAAAATTTATTGCTTTTTATAAATTACAGTAATTAACTTTTCTATGTGGATGAATTACTATTAGCTGGTGTCTTAGCTCTTTTTTCTTTATATCAAGTATGCTACCGGACACTTTGTTTCAATGTGCCAAGGATGACTCCATAGTAGACCTTCTGTATCCTTTACAATCTATGTATCCGTAGTGAGGATTGAACCCATAGCTTTACACTGAGCTACATCCCTGTGTGTACTGCATACTGTACATTCTTTTTATTTTTAAATTTTGAGACAGGGTCTCACTAAGTTGGTAAATTGCCCAGACTGGGACAAAATTATAATCCTCCTGCTTCAGCCTCACAGAGTAAAAAGCAGTAATTTTACAAATGCATATATATAGTGTATTTAGTGCCAGAAGGATTTCTTGGGGATAGATTTTATTTTACACATTCCACAGGCAAGCTAACCTAGACCAAGAGAAATAAACTGAGCAGAGATAATGCACTGTGCAGGCTCGTGCCACAACAGGCAGCAAGATGGCTCCAAAGATGCCACTATAATCCCCCGAACCTGCTAATATGGTATTTTCCATGACAAAAGAGACTTCAAGGAGGTGAATCACTTAAGGGTCTCCAAATGGGGAGATTATTTGGGATTACCTTGGTAGGGCCAATATAATCCCAGGGATCCTTATG